CGTGCACGCCTGGGGCTCGCTTGCACTGACAGCCGCAGCGGGGTGCGCTGCAACCCCATTTCTGGCTGCGTCCTCCCCGCGACACCCTGGCCCTGAGCTCAACGCCCAGGATGCCTAGGGCCAGGGGAAGGAGGTCAGCTACTTTTGGGAAACTCTTGCTTTAAGTCTTTGCCTTCATTCGGGCTCGTCTCTGGTCGGATAAAGGCCAGAGAACAAGCGTTACAGGGAGGAGCCAGTCATCAATGGCGTTGCAGCGCACCGCGCTGCGGCTGGTAGTGCAAGCCAACCCCACGCGTGCACGTAAGGAAGCCTCAGCGAAGCTTCTTTTGCTGCATACTTTACCTCTGAACGTACTTGTAGAGCGTTTGCAAGCGCTTACATGCAGCGTGCCAAAACCACGGGAAGGCTTCCACGCCAACTCATGCTACAATACCCATACTAAACCCAGGCACTGAGCTGAACCCAGGATTCCTGAGGACTGGGGAAGGATATCAGAGCCTTTTGGGGACACTCTTACCTCAACTCGTGCTTACATTGCAGCTCGCTTTAGTCATTGATTAAAGGCGGACAGCGCACAGTACCTGCTTCGTGAACCCCACATGCAAGCACGCGCAAGCACCCCTTGCTACATGCACGAACACTGTAAACAATCGACAAACACTCACTTGGCCCTCCGTATCTAGCGCCCAGGCAAGTCAGAGCTCACGTACCACCTTTGGGAAGAGCATACTACAGTAGCGCTGTCCCCTAGCTCGCCTGGCGAGGAGGCGCTGCAGTTAGCAACAGTAGAGGAATGCCATGACTGTATAAAATATCGTACTACACTGGATAGTTCTTACATGGTGCACTAAGTGAACTTCGAATAACTACGAGAATATGCGCACAGCTTCCCGCTGGTGGCAGATTTCCTGTTCATGTAGCCTGCGCAATGCATGCAGCGTGTCTTGCAGAGCCCTGCTGAGGGCCGAGTGATTTGTGTAAAGACGGCTTTTTTTGTCTCAAATCATATTATGATTTTATGGCCACATGGCTGGGGCGGTGGTGGAATTAAGGTCTTCCCAGCTGAACTTGAACTCCTCCGCGCGAAACCCCGTCTGTGCAAACTAGCGCCACACTAGTGCTGGTTGATGGTCCTCTTTCCCTTCGTGGCTTCTCCAAGTATTTGTTCTTTTGATTACCTCATCTGTGATTTTGCCCACAGAAACTCCAATTTTGCGCCTTTGTGCCAGGCGTCCCCAGATATCGCATCTGCATCCACGTCCAAACCTTCCCTCGGCTTTGCCTTCCAATCCTTCCTAGTCCTACCACCACCTCTTGCTGCTTCACTTTCCGACACGGACAACTACCTTCGTTTGATGGTGGGGGGCTGAATGATAGGCATCTCGTCGTGGGGTTGCAGCATCACTCGACGGCTGAACGCTGCATACTGTCCGCCACGGATCCGGGAGCCTTACGACCACTTGCAGGATCAGCAGTGACAGTACCAGTAGGTGCACCTGCAGAAGCAGTTGCCTAGAACATCGAAAGAGGGTGCCTGTTTCCCTGAGCGCCCGCGAAATGCACTAGACATCCGGTGTGTGAAAGAAGCCCCGCTGTGCGTAGGGCGGCGTTGGTGTTTCGCCTTAGCATCCGGAGTTTCAACTGCGATGGGTAGGTCGCGCCAGTGACCCATTTACGTGTTCCTGATCCTTCGCGCTTATAGGTAGTGATACAATGGCTGATCTAGCTGAAGTGCAGCAGCTGGAGCTGTTGTGCCAGGCCTTCTACGGCGGGGGCGGAAAGGAAGAACAAAATGAAGCCCATAAGGTGCTTCTTCCACTTGTAAATAACCCTGAAAACATGCCCAGGCTACAGGCAGTGCTGGCTCACTCGTCTAATCTGCAGGCGCTGATCTTTGCGAGCTCTGGGTTAATGAACCTCTTCACTCGGTATTGGGGCCAAATAT